CACGGGGGCCGGGGAGGGACAGGTGACCACCCACGCCCCCCCGCCGACGGGGTGATGCCAGTTTGCTGGGAAGCTCCTCTGGCATTTTGTGCCGGGGGGGGTGGAATTGGGTCTAGGGGCTAAATGAGCTCCGTGCCTCAGTTTCCCCATTTCCCCTCCAGAGGGGTGCATCTCCCTGCAGCGGAAACCCAGGCACCCATGGGTTATGGAAAAGGGGTGCCCCCCTGCAAGGACCCCAGCAGTGCCCTGTCCCCCCCCACATGGGGAGAGGGCAGGCAAGTCCCACCCCAGCAGCCTGGGAAGCGATGCCGTTCTTGGGGGTCCAAATTCTGCCAGGCCCTGCGGAGGGGGACCTGGGAATGGGGTGTGCCGGGGGGGGGGGTGTGTCACTCGTGGGTCTGGCTGGGGGAGTCATGAGGACAGGGGGGGTGATGTGGGCACTGATGGCGTCTCTTCCCACTGCCGTGGATCCACAGGGGATGGTGCCATGCTGGGGGGTCCATCCCCTTCCCCAGTCCATCCTGTCCCGCATGCCCAGCCCAGTGGGGGTGGCAGGGCTGGTACCACCACATCCCTCCTGGAAAATGCCCCTTCCAGCCACAGCTGAGGACCACCATGCTCAGGACACCCAAGAGACCCCGTTCCATGGGTGGGCATCACCCTCCCTGGCACACATGCAGCACTCAGGTTAGGCACCGTGCCCAGGGGGGACACCGAGAGCAGCCACCAGCTCAGCACCCCGTGGTGAAAAGCACCCAGCTTTATTTTCCCAAGCCAAGGTGGGTGAGCAGGGAAGAACGGGGGGCTGGCACATGGACCCCACCCCCAGACCCTAGATGAAGCGCTTATTCTCCTCCCGGTAGTCGTAGGGGTCTCCGGCGAAGGGCAGCGGCGGAGGATGGTTGTAGATGCCCATGAGGAAGATCCAGAGGGTTCCCACCACCCGCGTGGGGGGGATGGAAGAGGCAGAGGCGGTCCAGGGTCCGAGCCACACGGTTCCAGTTGTCCTTCTCCTGGGGAAGAAGCCGGGACCCAGGCAGTGGGGGGCACAGCGGGCATAGGGAGCCCCCTCTGCCCTCCTACGTCCATGGCCCCCACCTCATTGTAGCTGTTTTTCTCCCGCATGTGCTGGACGATGAAGTTGGCATTGTCAACGATGGGTTTTATGTGCTCGTAGAGCTGTTCCTCACCTGTGTTCACGAGCGCCAAACCTGGGGGCGAGGAGGGGGTAGTGAGACGGGCTCCGAAGGGCTGCCACCCCCGAAGACCCCTGCTCCACCACTCTTGCCCGTGTCCCCATGGAGGGACCAAGGCTCACGGGCGGGGGTGATGCGGCTGGCCAGCCCATGCCGCTCTGACTGCTTCTCGAACATTAGCTCGCTGCGGGACTTGACGCTGAAGTACTCCTCCGCCTTGGCGATGTAGCCAGCCGAGCTGCAGCGCCGGATGCACGGGGCGCCCGCCGGGCTCTCGGCCGGCTGCAGCATGCCCAGCAGGCGTGGCAGTTTCTCCAGGAAGACCTGGGACACAAGAGGTGGTGTCAGGTCCCTCGGCTGCTCCCTTGGTGCAATGCTGCCTTGTCCCCACCTTCTGCCCCCAAGCCGGGTGTGCAGCTCCTTAGGGCAGCACAGATGGGATGCTCCAATGCAATGCCGGGTCTGCGCTGTCCCGTGCTCTCCGTGGGGCACGGTGCCACCCGTGGCAGTTTCTCCAGGAAGACCTGGGACACAAGAGGTGGTGTCAGGTCCCTCGGCTGCTCCCTTGGTGCAATGCTGCCTTGTCCCCACCTTCTGCCCCCAAGCCGGGTGTGCAGCTCCTTAGGGCAGCACAGATGGGATGCTCCAATGCAATGCCGGGTCTGCGCTGTCCCGTGCTCTCCGTGGGGCACGGTGCCACCCCTGCACCCACCAGGTCAGCCATCCTCAACTTCCATTTCCGCATCCCCAGCACCCCCGCGCTCACCTCTTTGACCCAGTCAGACATGATGTGGGTGCTGGGGGTGCGGAAGTGGAAGTTGAGGACCATGACGCAGATGATCACCACAGCCGTCACGAGCAGCATGATGAAAAGCAGGTACCTGTGGGGGGCACAGACCTGCGGCTGGCATTGCCACAGGGACTGGGCACAGGCAGAACTTCCCTCTGCACCCCAGGGACCCCACGATATCCCTCCTGTGCCCAGTGGCACCCAGGACTCACTTGCCGATGAGGGGGATGGCGTGGGAGGTGGCAGGCAGGCGCTGGGAGATGAGCAGGAGGAAGACAGACTGGGCCAGGAGCACCGAGATCACCAGCGTCATCTTCTCACCACCTGGAGAGGTGAGCTCAGGGCAAACCTTGCCACAGGTCCCCCTTCCAGTGCCCCCAGTGCCGGGATTTCCTTTCCAGTGTCCCACCATACAATGCCCCGTATAAGGTTTTCTGTTATTGAGGTACCCCAGGGTCACATGTGGGGTATCCTGTGCCTGAGTGTGCCCCAGCCAGGCTGCCTGGCTGGGATGATGGTGTCCTGCACAGGAATGTCTCAGTACCAGGATGTCCCTGTGCTGAGCATTGGGGTGTCCCCATGTCCCAGGACATGGAGGTGCCCCATGGGGTGACCCCCATGCCTGGCACTGGTGCCATGGGGCTCACTCACTGTCAGCGGGCAGGTAGAAGACAAGGATGGCCATGAAGGCAATGAGGATGCAGGGTGTGACGATGTTGATGACATAGAAGAGCGGCTTGCGCTTGATGATGAGGTGGAAGGTGATGTCCTGGTGCTCACTGCTCTCAGGGGGGTTGTCAGGGTGGATGTTCTTGCGGGCCGGGCGGTGGATGATTTCCCATTCACCGTTCTCTGCCAGGGCACAAGGCACAAGGCATGGCATGGGGGGCTCCCACCATCCCCATCCTCACCAGCCCCACCAGCACCTGGTCTCCCTGTCCTGGATCTGGGTAGCTCCAGGCCTGGTGGGATGGGTGCCAGGGTGCCAAATCCCCAAGTACTTGGGTGTCTCCATGGCAGAGTGCTCCAATGCCAGGGTACCCTGAGTCCCATACAGGGTGCCCCGCTGCCACAGGGCATGCCAGAGAGAACAAGCATTACCCGTGAAGCCTTCAGGGTCGATGATGATCCACTCCACCGGGTAATCCTTGCCGGTCTCTGGGTCGCTATCTGTCTTCAGGTGCATGTTGATCTCCAGGGCACTGTATGCCAGTGAGCTGGGAGGGACAGGGGGTGAGGGGCTGTGCCTGCAGCTTGGTACCCACCACCCACCTGCCCTGACCTCCAGCACGATGGAGTTGGGCCACCGAGTCACCTGCAAACCCCCAGCTTGCTACACCCCGACAGCAAGGGAAGGTCCTGGCAGCAGCGGGCACTGCGGGGGGCTGGGATCCCCACCTTGGTGCCCGCCCCTGCCCTGCCCTGCGACCCCCCCCTTGGCCCCCGCCCCTGCCCTGCCCTGCCCCAGCCAGCCCCCCACACCTGAATTTGAGGGTGCAGTTCTGCCAGTCGAAGGGGAAGAAGTCGACGTTGATGGGACAGGTGCTGCGGAAGATGGCGGGCGGCAGCCAGTAGACGTAGCCTGTGTTGTAGACAAGGACGTTGCAGTAGTAGGCGATCTCGAAGAGCCCATCGTTGCTGCACCAGGAGAGAGCCAAGGTGATGGCGGGGCTGGTGAGGGGCCGAGCGAGCCCTGGGCAAGCACCAGGCACAGCTCAGGGGGTTTGGGGAGGGAAACTGAGGCACAGCTCACTTGTTTTCCAGGACTATCTCAGGCAGCCACAGCATGTCCGGCGGCAGGCGGAGCACCTCAATGTCCCCAAAATCGGACTTGTTCCACTGCAGGCGGTAATCGGTCCAGCCCTGGAGGGGGGATCCCCGGGTCACCCCCTCACAACTCTGGGCCACCCCGTTGCCTGTGCCTTAGGGCACAACTGATGCCGTGATGCCTGTCCCTACTCACGTGCTCGAGCCATACGTTGGTGGTGAGCGTCTCGTCCACCTCTTTCTGCAATGACAGCACAGGGCAGTGAGATGCCAAGGCCGTTCCCAGCAGCCATCCCCCCAAGCCCAGGACCTCCAACCCTCACCAGCCAGGGTTTGGGGCAGTGGCCTCAGAGCCCCCCCCACCCAGCCAGCCCTGGGGGGGACACATGGCTCAGGGGCACCCCGCAGCAGGCACTGCTGGCTGGGGCTCACCAGTGAGATGAGGTTGGACAGAGTGAGGGCCAGGTAGACGTCGACGACCTGGTCGATGGAGACAACGGGGCGCACCTCCTTGTCGTAGTCCCTCTCCTCGAAGAGGTGGTGTATGAGCCGCTCCTCCTGGTTCACGCAGAGCCCGCCTGGGGATGTGGGGTCAGGCAGACTGGGGTGGGAATGGGGGGGTTGCTGGGCCCAGTGCCACCCCGCAGGGATGCGAGGCGAGGCGGGGTGGTGTAAGGATGGAGGGGACAGGAGCAGCCCAGGGTACCACATACTTGTGCTGCACGGGGGCACAGACACGGGACATGCAGGAAGGACAGACGTGCAGGGGCACACGGGCATGGGACAAGGAGATGAGCATGGACGCAGAGGGACACAAGGATACAGACCGAGCACACGCAGGGACGCACAGAGACGAGACACTGGAGTACAGGCATGGTGGCACTGTGCACGTAGGTGGATGCGGACACAGAGGCACACGCGGACATGGACCCCGTACATAGATGGAGACGGACCCAGTATGTGCAGGGGCACGTGGCCGTAGACGCTGTGTCACTGTGCACGCAGACAGGCACACAACAGGGACACGCAGACACAGTGACACTGTGCACAGACAGACGGACACACACAGAGCCCAGGCAGGGACACGGCTCCTGGTGGCACAGCCAGCACAGAAGCGCAGCGGATGTGCAGCGAGGGGATTCTGCTAGGCAATACCCAAAATGCAGCCTTGGGTGCCCAGCTTGGACCCTGCCACCATCACCCCCCACCGAGCACATCAAGGGGACCCAGAGACCCCCACCAATGGGGCAACCCCGTGCCCAAGACCCCAAGGCCCCGCTCACCTGACAGCACCAGCGCCCCGAGCAGGGCCA